AACAATTCTGTGTCCCTGAGTAACAATTCTGTGGCCTCAGTAACAATTCTGTGTCCCTCAGTAACAATTCTGTGTCCCTGAGTAACAATTCTGTGTCTGTCCCTGAGTAAGAATTCTGTGTCTGTCCCTGAGTAACGTTTCTGTGGCCCTAAGTAAAGGTTCTGTGGCCCTCAGTAACAATTCTGTGTCCCTGAGTAACAATTCTGTTTCTGTCCCTGAGTAACAATTCTGTGGCCCTAAGTAACGGTTCTGTGGCCCTCAGTAACAATTCTGTGTCCCTGAGTAACAGTTCTGTGTCCCTCAGTAACAATTCTGTGTCCCTCAGTAACAATTCGGTGTCCCTCAGTAACAATTCTGTGTCTGTCCCTGAGTAACAATTCTGTGTCTGTCCCTGAGTAACGTTTCTGTGGCCCTAAGTAACGGTTCTGTGGCCCTCAGTAACAATTCTGTGTCCCTCAGTAACAATTCTGTGTCTGTCCCTGAGTAACAATTCTGTGGCCCTAAGTAACGGTTCTGTGCCCTCAGTAACAATTCTGTGTCCCTCAGTAACAATTCTGTGGCCCTCAGTAACAATTCTGTGTCTGTCCCTGAGTAACAATTCTGTGGCCCTAAGTAACGGTTCTGTGCCCTCAGTAACAATTCTGTGTCCCTGAGTAACAATTCTGTGGCCCTAAGTAACGGTTCTGTGGCCCTCAGTAACAATTCTGTGGCCCTCAGTAACAATTCTGTGTCTGTCCTGAGTAACAATTCTGTGGCCCTAACTGAGTAACGTTTCTGTGGCCCTAAGTAACAATTCTGTGGCCCTCAGTAACAATTCTGTGTCCCTGAGTAACGTTTCTGTGGCCCTAAGTAACAATTCTGTGTCCCTCAGTGTAACGAGTAATTCTGTGTCCCTCAGTAACAATTCTGTGTCCCTGAGTAACAATTCTGTGGCCCTCAGTAACAATTCTGTGTGTCCCTCAGTAACAATTCTGTGTCCCTGAGTAACAATTCTGTGTCTGTCCCTGAGTAACAATTCTGTGTCTGTCCCTGAGTAACGTTTCTGTGGCCCTAAGTAAAGGTTCTGTGGCCCTCAGTAACAATTCTGTGTCCCTGAGTAACAATTCTGTGTCTGTCCCTGAGTAACAATTCTGTGGCCCTAAGTAACGTTTCTGTGGCCCTCAGTAACAATTCTGTGTCCCTGAGTAACAATTCTGTGTCTGTCCCTCAAGTAACAATTCTGTGTCCCTCAGTAACAATTCTGTGTCCCTCAGTAACAATTCTGTGTCTGTCCCTGAGTAACAATTCTGTGTCCCCTGAGTAACGTTTCTGTGGCCCTAAGTAACGGTTCTGTGGCCCTAAGTAACAATTCTGTGGCCCTCAGTAACAATTCTGTGTCCCTGAGTAACGTTTCTGTGGCCCTAAGTAACAATTCTGTGCCCTCAGTAACAATTCTGTGTCTGTCCCTCAGTAACAATTCTGTGTCCCTGAGTAACAATTCTGTGGCCCTCAGTAACAATTCTGTGTCCCTCAGTAACAATTCTGTGTCCCTGAGTAACAATTCTGTGTCCCTGAGTAACAATTCTGTGTCTGTCCCTGAGTAACACGTTTCTGTGGCCCTAAGTAACAGGTTCTGTGGCCCTCAGTAACGGTTCTGTGGCCCTCAGTAACAATTCTGTGTCTGTCCCTGAGTAACAATTCTGTCCCTGGTAACAATTCTGTAAGTAACGGTTCTGTGGCCCTCAGTAACAATTCTGTGTCCCTGAGTAACAATTCTGTGTCCCCTCAGTAACAATTCTGTGTCCCTCAGTAACAATTCTGTGTCCCTCAGTAACAATTCTGTGTCTGTCCCTGAGTAACAATTCTGTGTCTGTCCCTGAGTAACGTTTCTGTGGCCCTAAGTAACGGTTCTGTGGCCCTCAGTAACAATTCTGTGTCCCTCAGTAACAATTCTGTGTCTGTCCCTGAGTAACAATTCTGTGTCTGTCCCTGAGTAACAATTCTGTGTCCCTGAGTAACGTTTCTGTGGCCCTAAGTAACAATTCTGTGGCCCTCAGTAAAATTTTGTGTCTGTCCCTGAGTAACAATTCTGTGTCTGTGCCCTGAGTAACAATTCTGTGTCCCTGAGTAACGTTTCTGTGGCCCTAAGTAACAATTCTGTGGCCCTCAGTAACAATTCTGTGTGTCCCTGAGTAACAATTCTGTGTCTGTCCCTGAGTAACAATTCTGTGTCCCTGAGTAACATTTCTGTGGCCCTAAGTAACAATTCTGTGGCCCTCAGTAACAATTCTGTGTCTGTCCTGAGTAACAATTCTGTGTCTGTCCCTGAGTAACAATTCTGTGTCCCTAAGTAACGTTTCTGTGGCCCTAAGTAACAATTCTGTGGCCCTCAGTAACAATTCTGTGTCTGTCCCAGAGTAACAATTCTGTGGCCCTAAGTAACGGTTCTGTGGCCCTCAGTAACAATTCTGTGTCCCTCAGTAACACTGTTCTGTGGCCCTCAGTAACAATTCTGTGTCTGTCCCTGAGTAACAATTCTGTGGCCCTAAGTAACGGTTCTGTGGCCCTCAGTAACAATTCTGTGGCCCTAAGTAACGGTTCTGTGGCCCTCAGTAACAATTCTGTGTCCCTGAGTAACAATTATGTGGCCCTAAGTAACAGTTCTGTGTCCCTCAGTAACAATTCTGTCTGTCCCTGAGTAACAATTCTGTGGCCCTAACTAACGTTTCTGTGGCCCTAAGTAACAGTTCTGTGGCCCTCAATAACAATTCTGTGTCTGTCCCTGAGTAACAATTCTGTGGCCCTAACTAACGTTTCTGTGGCCCTAAGTAACAATTCTCTGGCACTCAGTAACAATTCTGTCTGTCCCTGAGTAACAATTCTGTGGCCCTAATAACGTTTCTGTGGCCCTAAGTAACAGTTCTGTGGCCCTCAGTAACAATTCTGTGTCTGTCCCTGAGTAACAATTCTGTGGCCCTAACTAACGTTTCTGTGGCCCTAAGTAACAATTCTCTGGCACTCAGTAACAATTCTGTCTGTCCCTGAGTAACAATTCTGTGGCCCTAACTAGCGTTTCTTTGGCCCTAAGTAACGATTCTGTGGCCCTCATTAACAATTCTGTGTCCCTGAGTAATGCTTCTCTGTCCCTAAGTAACGTTTCTCTGTCCCCAAGTAACGTTTCTGTGGCCCTAACTCTGTCCCTAATACAGAGCGGTCTGCCTCTCTTGAATGACTGGAGGCAAATGAAGAATTCTAAAATGGCCGCTATTTATAGCTCGACCATTACACAGTGCTGGCTGCCTGGCTGCTGATTGGCTAATGCGATCACATGTCATTAAGGAATGCATTATGGGTCAGCGCGCCTTTTCTGCGCGCCTTCCCAGACATCCCCGCTCCGTCGCCGCACATGTCCGCCGCCATTTTAGGAAAAATTTCGATTCGCGCGCGTCCGAAGTTGGCTATTTTTTTCGATTCTGCGAAATTTTCCAATATTCGACTCGAATTCCACTTCGCCTACTTCGATTCGCTCATCTCTAGCAGCCACCACATCTAATGATTGGTAAGCAGCAATATATTTCATTTTTGGTTTTAGGTTTAGTACCTCTTTAATATGTTATTACTGCTGTTCAAAGTAACTCTTACTTTTTGTTTAACAGTTGGTACAAACGAGTCCTCATTATATTAAAACTATATTATAATGCTCTATACCTGTTGCCCTATCTCCTAAACTTTAACTCAATAAACCCAGCCCCTATAAAATATTGAAGAAGACCCCTTTAACACAATTTCACTTATTATACCAGTTATATCGCTGAAACATTGTGAATTAATTTACTGTATCTGAGAATTGTCTTTTCTCTTATTACTTTTTTACTTAACTCCTGTTTCAGAATTGGGACTTTTCATGTAGCCACCTGTCCTCATTCTATCTTTGCCCTACTTTTCTTTCCCAGACTTCATTCATTAGTTGACCATATTACAGACTTTTAAAATGTTTAGCGTGTACGTTATACTGATTATAGAACATAATTAAATGAAGCTTTAAGCTACATTTAATTCCACTGAAATGTATCTTTAATTCGTTTTTTTCTTTCAAATACATTTTTAATGATTACATAATATAACATGGTGTTCTTTATAATGCATCATGACTGTAGGAATCCTATAGGGTGGAACAATATAGTATAGGCAAAAAAAAAGCACAGTGTTAACCATAAAGATCTGTTTATAGGAAACGGATTCATAATTTCCACAGCTACCAATATTCTGCTGTCTTTCATCTTCTCTCTTTCCTAAAAGCCAGAGGATGAAGCCAGCAGCATTTTACTCAGAAAAATTACTTTAGTTGCTCTAGTTTCTAACATCAAACCAGAGTTTTCAGAAATATGGATCCCGGTTTCTTTCCACTGTGCTTATAAAAAATCATTAAATTTTCAGCTTTAAATCTCAAGAACGTGTGTTTGCTACTTCTAGTTGTTATGATGCTCCAAACCTTTCAGCTGTAGATGTGCATTAGATGCAGGCTTAGAAGCACTTACTTATATTTTAGGCCTTATGCAATGAAGTCGTATGATACAACATAAGATGCGGTGCATATAATTTCCCAACATTCTATGCCAATAAGCCTTCACATTTTTCCAAGCAAGTAAAAATGGAAAATATTTGTTGCTTTGACCTATTGATATTTCAAACACGCATAATCTATCTCCAGGTTTTATCAGAAACATTCCCGACAATTTTCTCAGAAAATAATTAAATCTCTTTGAATTACAGAATATAATGATTCAATACACATTGAGCACCATGATCGGTAAATAGTGTATGCTCTTACATTTAGATGGTATATACATGGATTTCATTTTTTGGCATTTGTGATTCTAAGCAGTAACTGCAAACCCTAGCTAACATGTATGAAGCACTCTATATCTCTATATGCTTGGGAAGAAACATGCTGATGACAACTGTTCTCATAAATGAATATACAGTGTATATTCACATATATACACTGTATTTCTCACTCCACAATACGCACCTGACCATAAGACGCACCTAGATTTTAGAGGAGGAAAACAAGAACAACAACATTCAGAACAAATGGACTGCAGACATAGTACAGGAGATGACCAGAGGCTGTGGATACAGTACAGGAGATGACCAGGGACTGTGGACACAGTAAAGGAGATGACCAGAGACTGCGGACACAGTACAGGAGATGACCAGAGACTGCGGACACAATACAGGAGATGACCAGAGACTGTGGACACAGTACAGGAGATGACCAGAGACTGCAGACATACTACAGGAGATAACCAGAGACTGCGGACACAGTACAGGACATGACCAGAGACTGTGGACACAGTATAGGAGATGACCAGAGACTGCGGACACAGTACAGGAGATGACCAGAGACTGCGGACACAGTACAGAGATGACCAGAGACTGCGGACACAGTACAGGACATGACCAGAGACTGCGGACACAGTACAGGAGATGACCAGAGACTACGGACACAGTACAGGAGATGACCAGAGACTGTGGACACAGTACAGGAGATGACCAGAGACTGCGGACATACTACAGGAGATGACCAGAGACTGCGGACACAGTGCAGGACATGACCAGAGACTGCGGACATAGTACAGGAGATGACCAGAGACTGCGGACATAGTACAGGAGATGACCAGAGAGTGCAGACCTTTTGGGGGGTGGGTACCCAAATTTAACAGGTACCCACTCCCACTTGTCCCCCCGTCCCTCCTCTTGGTCTTGTGGGACACATGACAGGTCCCACAAGACTACAGAGCCATTCACAAAGTGCAGCGCTTCTCATGCATGCGCAGTGGGCACCCAGAAGCCGCAAGCTGTCACAGCTGGGTACCCACACTAAAGATGCCGGCACTAGGGAGAGAAGAAGGCCAATGGAAGCAGGACACTGCTGGACAAGAAACAGGTAGGACGGGAGCAGCGGGTTCTTCTGCACAGTAGAGCCGAGTGGCCGGCCCGGTATTCTAGCGACCGGCGGGCAATACCGGGCCGGCCGGGGGCAATACCGCCACTCAATATTCGCTCCAGCAGACACACACACAGACACACAGAGGGAAGTGGTTCTTATGGAGCAAAAAATACGGTATATATATATATTGATATACACATCCTATATAGTCAAACATATTGGGACACCTGCCTTTACATGCACATGAACTTTAATGGCATCCCTGTCTTAGTCTGTAGGGTTCAATATTGAGTTTGCCCACCCTTTGCAGCTATAGCAGCTTCAACTCTTCTGGGAAGGCAGTCCACAAGGTTTAGGAGTGTGTCTATGGGAATGTTTGACCATTCTGCCAAAAGCACATTCTTTAGGTCAGGCACTGATGTCGGACGAGAAGACCTGGCTCACAGTCTCTGCTCTAATTCATCCCAAAGGTGTTCTATCGGGTTGAGGTCAGGACTCTGTGCAGGCCACTCAAGTTCCTCCACCCCAAACTTGCTCATCCATGTCTTTATGGACCTTGCTTTGTGCACTGGTGCACAGTCATGCTGGAACAGGAAAGGGCCAAACTGTTCCCACAAAGTTGGGAGCATGAAATTGTCCAAAATGTCTTGGTATGCTGACGCCTTAAGAGTTCCTTCACTGGAACTAAGGGGCCAAGCCCAATGCCTGAAAAAACAACCCCACACCATAATCCCTCCTCCACCAAACTTTACACTTGGCACAATGCAGTCCTGGCAACCGCCATACCCAGACATGTCCATCGGATTGCCAGACAGAGAAGCGTGATTTGTCACTCCAGAGAACACATCTCCACTGCTCTAAAGTCCAGTGGCGGAGTGCTTTACGCCACTGTATCAGACATTTTGCATTGCACTTGATGATGTAAGGCTTGAATGTACCTGCTCGGTTATGGAAACCCATTTCATGAAGCTCTCTACACACTGTTGTGCTAATCTGTAGGCCACATGAAGTTTGGAGGTCTTTAGCTGTTGACTCTGCAGACAGTTGGTGAATTCTGTGTGCTTCAGCATAATCTGACCCCACACTGTCATTTTATGTGGCCTACCACTTGCTTGAGTTGCTGTTGTTCCCAGGTGCTTCCACTTTGTTATAATACCAATAACATTTGACTGTGGAATATTTGATAGCAAAGAAATTTCATGGATGGACTTATTGCACAGGTTACAAGCTATCACAGTAGCACGCTTGAATTCACTGAGCTCCTGAGAGCGACCTATTCTTTCACAAATGTTTGTAGAAGCAGTCTGCATGCCTAGGTGCTTTTTTTATACACCTGTGGCCATGGAGGTGATTGAACACCTGCATCCAATGATTTGTAAAGGGGTGTCCTAGTACTTTTGGCAGTATAATGTATATATATATATATATATATATACATATGCTTTAAAAGAAGTCTAAATTTGTCTGTAGAAAGGCAGTCAGGCAGGCAGTGACTTTGCCTAGTTCAAACATCTCAGTAGTGACATAACTGAGCATGCCCAGGCCAGGAAAACTAAAGATTGCCTTCACTCTGATGTTTTTTTTTTTTTAAGTGCTGTAGTAAATGCATGTGTTGGCAAGCCTGGAAATGTCATTGAAAAGAGTGAACCTGTTTTTCAGAAAGCATGATTAACCACTAGCTTACAGGGCACTTATACCCCCTTACTGCCCAGGCCAATTTTCAGCTTTCAGCGCTGTCACACTTTGAATGACAATTGCGCAGTCATACAACACTGTACCCATATGAAATGTTTATAATTTTTTTGAGACAGATAGAGCTTTCTTTTGGTAGTATTTAATCACCTCTGGATTTTTTATTTGTTGCTAAACAAACCAAAAACAACTGAAAATTTTGAAAAAAAAGTTTTTTCTTAGTTTTTGTTATAAAATTTTGTAAATAAGTGATTTTTCACCTTCACTGATGTGCGCTAATGAGGCTGCAGTGATGGGCACTGATAGGCTGCACTGATGGGCACTGATTGGTGGCACTGATGGGCACTGATGAGGAGGCACTGGTAGGTGGCACTGATGGGCTTTGACAGGCATCACTGATGGGCACTGAAAGGCAGCACTCATATATGGCACTGATAGGTGGCACTGACTGGCACAGTTAGGTGGCACTGACTGGCACTGTTAGACAGGACTGATAGGCAGCACTGACGGGCACTGATAGGTGGCACTGATGCGCACTGATAGACGACACTGACTGGCAATGATAGTTGGCAGTTACTGGCACTGATACGCAGCACTGATTGGCAGCACTGATAGGTGGCACTGACTGGCATTGATAGGTGACACTGACTGGCACTAATAGGTGGCTGAAAAGCAGCTCAGATGGGCACTGATATGTGGCATTGATGTGCACTGGTAGGCACTGATATGTGGCATTGATGTGGCACTGATGGGCATTGGCAGGTGGCATTTATGAGCACTGCTGGGGCTACACTGATCATCAGGGCACACTGATCATCAGTGCCCTGATCATCAGGGCACATGTTCCCTCTGAGGAATGCTGATTACTGGCTCTCCTCTGCTCTCGAGCTATCAGCGTGACAGCTCACGAGGAGAGAAATGCTGATAAACAGCATCTCCTTATTTACATGCGATCAGCTGTGATTGGACACAGCTGATCACATGACCGAGCCGACATCTTCGGTTCTTTCCGTTGATCGGTGATCCGAGGGACATAGCACACCACCGATCGCCGCGCTGCGCACCCCCACTAGTTAACGATCCACTGAGATTAAATGAATACATGGAATGAAGAGTATTTATTCACTATACCTCTTTGCATTTTAGGGGCAGCTCTGTCAATAATCATATTGTGCATCATAGGCAAAATACTATGGAAAAGGAATATCATATAACTGGCAGGAAATCTCAACTTTATTTCTAATAAATCCATAATGGTCACTGATCTGCCCCTGTCTATTTGTCATGTAGAGAAGTAGCAGGATGTGAGACTTTACAGGTATAGGCCTGTGAATATTTGGCCAGAAAGGCAAACACAACCAACTTGCCTTTTCAAGATAACATATTTCTGTAGGCTAAAGAAAGTGTTCAGTGGTGCCTCATTGCTTGGTTAGCATGGTGAAAGGTACAGTAGGTGTAGTTAAAGGAAGTTTGTTGTCACATATCTTTTTATGCCCTCAGCACTTTACACTGAGACACACTGTGATCAAAGGACTGAAAAGAAAGTGGATAGCTATATAATTTAAAGCATGGGTCACTGATTGCTGGTGTTGCTCTGATGAAAGTCTGAATAGTTAAGTATCTCTATTTTGGGCCACCAACAAAACCTATCTTATTAGTATAGGTTCAAGTCAAATGCCACTCTTCCCCGAGCTCATTACTAATCTAAACTTTACTGCTATGTTTTCATTGTAAATTACAGAGAGTAGAGAAAAGGTGTTCACTTATAAAGGTTGTGTTCAAAGCTGCCTGTATATACAAAATCCTGCTTCAACATAAATGTTCAATTTTGGGCAAAATTCAAGTCTCTTATTGAGAAATGTTCCACAAAGAAAAAAAAAATTGTACTTAACTGGCTTCCAGTCAATCTCTGTTTGAGGAGGCTTTAGGGATGATGAGATGATTATGGTGATGCATGTAATATCTTTTCTTTTATATATCCCTAAACGTGACTGATATACAACTCCTAAAAGCAGAAAAAAATTACACTGGAGCCTTGTTCACACAGACTTCAACTTGTATGATTGCAGTGTGGATCGGAAAGCTTTAGGTAGCTTTGCTGAATCCTTTAACCCATTGCCAACAGCCCTTTAACTGACACATAACACCAGGAGCAAGGAGTGGACCTCCCACTCACGTAATCACTGAAGAGGTTAAGCATGAAGAGCTTAAACTATAATGCAGCTCTAGATTTTAATAGGAGTGTTGAATGTCATTTTAAACAAGCTGTTAGTAGACTTCAGCATGCTATCAACAAGCTTCAAGTAGAACCAAAGCTCACTGAAGCTGGAAGTGACAGTCAAAACTTCCATCAGGATTTGTGTTTAACAGTCCTAAACTGGAGCTGATTGGTACCCTAAAAGAGTCAACAAAGCTCTAATAATGCTTTGAAATATCTTGCAGTACCCACTGTTCTCATAGATGCAGAAGCTCATGTGAGTAAGGCCGTAGACGATTCTCTCTAAGTCTTCCTTACCATATGACTATACTAAAAATAAACACTAATCTAATGTAAACTTTCGTAGTTTGATAATCTGCCTCAGGAGTCCTATACTGAAGTATAATCTTATGGTTTATTCTAACAAGCCATTTATGGTTATTAATGGTGCACCAGGAATGATGAGGTAGCTTTCAAGATCTGACTTTAAAATGCAGACGATAATAGTGATAAAGCACAGCTTTAGCCTGCATGGTGCAACACTGTGGAAGCCCCCCCCCCCCCCTCATAAAAAAAAATTATGCTAGACCCTAGCCTTGATGAGAGTCTGGTATAGATTTTAAAGGGGAATCTCAAAGCAAAAATGTGTGGGGTCCCCTATAATATCCATACCATATTCTGTGTTTTTTTTTTCAACTCTATTATGTTTTGTATAGGGAACTGTGCTAGAAATATGGTCTGGGTGAATAACCTTTCATTTTCAGCATCAAATGTCCTTTTCTGTTTTGCTAAAATAATTCTGTAGATTTTACATTTCTGTACTGAATTTTTATCATTCTTCATTCATTAGGTGTCCTTCAGTAAAATTTGGGACATTACTATTAATAAGGATCACTAATAAATAAATAAGTAAAGAAAACTGGGCCCAATACCTACCCCTGTGGTTCCACTGCTATATTTAGTCTACGTGCCACTAACTCTTGTCTTTATTCTTTTATCCAGTTATTTACCCATGTACAAACACTTTCCTGGAACCCTTGTGCACATGATCCCTTATCAGGCAAGTATGAGATACGGTATCAATTATTTTTATCAAATGTATCACTTTAAAACAATTTCCCAATCTTCCCAATTTACCATCTCAAAGAAATTAGTCGTATGTACAGTATGCTCACACATGTTCCTACCAGCTGACTAGCATAGACTATGCTTTGTGTTTTTTGTTAAAGCTCTAACTGAAAAGTAAATGTTTCTATTCAACTTGTATGTATTTTACTTTCATGTTTCGGTAACAAAGGAATATGTCTCTAACAGTGTTGGTCATGCGGCGAACCTCAGTGTCTCAATCAAACTCAGTCAATTCCTCAACTAAGATGTCAAGTAAAATAAATAATAAAAACACAGACAGAGGGAAACACAATGAGGGGTGGAAGGCACTGTAGCAATCACAAGCTGTGCTAACAACAGAGGAACACCCAAGTACCTCAACATTAGAAATCCAAGTTGAAAGTTGCAGCACTCTTAGGTTCATTGATTTTAGAATCCAAAATTGTACATAACTGTAGCAGAGACATCAGTTTTAAAGTTACAATGTTTTGCTCAAGCCAAGCAGCATACAGTCAAGAAAAATGTGTTTTTAACCAGGCAGCATGATAAATGAATAAGATAACACATACATTTAAGCACTAAGATATTACTTTGTTACCATGGTTACAGCATAAACAGCCAACATTTACTATTAATATATATCAGAATAAAACATAAATGTATTCGCCTTGCAACTATCTTCCTCTGTAGTTACCATAAAATAATACACAACCTAAAATATCATACAATAATAATTGCCTAAATACCATAGATTAAACTTTATTTTTGATTAACTATGTATTTTGTGTAATTTTTATTAAAAATGTAAAAAACACTTTCCAGATGTTCAACCATTTCCTATTTATTAAATGTCTTATGAGGGACTTTTGCTAGAGCTAACTATTGTTCATTCAGTTATTTGTTCATTAATCAATCCTTGTAAGTTTCAGGAAAATCCACCAAGTATGGTTTTGTACAGGGATTAAGACACCATATACACTAGGAGCTGAAAAACCCCCAAAAAAAGCTGGATAAAAAAAGTGCTCGATATTAGCATTTTTGCTGGCATCTTTCCATTTTTGTGCTGGTGTTTTGCTAGCATTTAATAGTGTATTGCGGGTTTATTGTGACCGCTGCGTCCTTAACAACCAATGCCAGCTGTCAGCAAGCTTCCCTGTTGACAGCTGACTGTAAACAAAAGAAAGCCAGCATTAAAAAATAAAAAAAAAACTGTATGGGAGCCCTCCCTATGAATTTTAAGGGGAACCCCACACCAAAAAAAAAAAAAAAGTTGCCCTTATCTAAGCATGCAGCCTGACAGGCCAGGAAAGGGGAGAAACAAGTGAACACTCTCCCCCTTCCTGAACCATACTAGGCCACATGCCCTCAACATGGATTTTCATGCTGATGGGGACAAGGACCTCTTCCTCACAACCCTGGATGGTGGTTGTGGGGGTCTGTGGGCAGAGGGCTTATCAGAATCTGGAGGCCCTACTCAAAGTCGGTGGCACTCCTCTCCTTTGGGGCTTCCCGTCTCCTACAATTTTTTATGGCTGGCCATCTATGACAGTATCTGAAGTGGAGTGGCGGCTCCCTCCTTCAGATGGGTCTGCCTCTGTTTTCTCCAGCTGGGCTGTCATTACTATGTGCGCTGGTGGGTCCGTATGCGCATGACATCACCCCATCTTGAGTGACGGGCTGACGCCGTATGCATGTAACCCAGGGGGTCCGCAAGAAAGATGCAGGTGGGCATGCATGGTCCTTTGTGTGTACTGCGCATGCGATGGCATCGGATGCCATCTTATTTATGTCAGTTACCACTGGGCAAGGTGTACTGTCTTGGAGACACCACAGGCAGTGGTGATATCCTTATCTCTTGTCTATGACTGCTCATCTGTGACCACCGAGCAAGCTGTACTCTTTTGGGGATTCTATCTACATTTGTGCTGGCGGCTATCTCTTGTTATACTGGGCCCATGCTTCTACCTGATAAGATTCTCTATGTTTGCACATTTCTTCTATCAATATTACTTTTGCCCCCCTCTTTTGAGCTGCCCAGTCTTTTTCACTTGTTAGACACAAGGTAGTATTGCAATTCCCCTTAATGCTATAAAATGCAATTTAGGTAACTCACTTTGATCCATCTAAGTCAAGGCATACCTACCTTTTTGGATGATGAAGAACAACCTCAGGAAGAGACTTTGAGGACATATATTTCAGCTACTCTGGTAAGATCCTCAGAAAGACTCGTCTTCGTCTATTTACTTTCCAGGAAATAACAAATATCCTCTATTAGAACCATAGCCCCTTGACTTTCATTAAAATCATTAAAATGTTATACACCCTAAAGGGTCTTCCCTTATCTCAGGAAATCCTTGTACACTCTACAATGGGGATGGCAGCATCTTGTGCAGCATTTTGCAAGGCCTTGGCTGAGACATCTGCAAAGCTGTAACTTGGTTGTCAAAAAACACCTTTGTGAA